ACCAGCTACCGCAGACGAGCCAGGGAACATCGGACGATGGCCAATCTCTCGGGAAGGAGGGCAAGGAGGTTCGAGCGGGGCACCATCGCCACATTCCACAACCAACGGCAACAACCGATTTAGTGAGATACGTACGCAATCCCGGCAACATTCGCAGCCGAGCAAACAACATCGATCGTAATCCCACCAGCCCTCTGGGCGTCGGTGGTTTAGGGAGTTTCCTCTTCCACCTCTCCTTCTTCCTCTTCGGGGAGGGGTTTACCCCTCCCCCTACCCCCTTTCCCCTGGACCTGGACACGGGGTTCCGCGAGGTGTCGGAGCGTCCAAAACGGCCTCGGCGAGGAAGCCAAAATCATTGGTTTTACTAGGGTGTTGGCCCCATTTTGGCCTCCTGAGGGGGGGGGGGCTTAATTAGACACCCCCCCCGCCGGTGATCGATCTCGCCCAAGATGGCCCAAATATTGCCCCCAAGGCTCCCAGGGGTGCCCCAAGAGGTGGCCAGGAAGCCCCGAGAGGCCCCCAGGATGCCCCCAAGAGGCTGCCAAGAGACCCCCAAGAGGCCCCCAAAGACCCCCCCGAGGCACCCAAGATGCTCCAAGAGGCCTCGGCGAGAATGCCAAATCTTAGATGTTACTAAGGTTTTAGCCACATGTTGGCCTCTTGGGGGGGCACTGATTAAGATGACTCCAAGAGCGCCTGGGAGAGCCCAAGATGACCTCCAAGATGGCTCAAGATATCCCAAGATGCCTCATAATGGCTCCCACGATGCTCCAAGATGCCCCAAGACCGCTCCAAGACGTCTCCCAGTGGCCAAAGAGCTCCCCCAGGAGGCCCCGAAAGGGGCCAACACCTGAGGACAGTCCAAGTGTTTGGCTTTCTCGTCTTTTCGCTTCCGATGGCCATCCGAGGCCTCAAGATGGCTCCACGATGGCCCAAGAGGGCTCCACTAGAGGCTCCAGAGAGCCCCAAGACGGCCCCAAGAACGCCTAAGAGCGCTCCAAGAACGCCCCAAGAGGCGATTGCTTGGGCCCCCGAGGGGCAACGCTAACTAATGCTCGCTTCTTGTTTGATCGGTGTCCCCCAAGATGGCCCCCAGAGCGCTCCCAAGGCTCCCAAGAACGCTTCAAAAGGGCCCCAAGAGGCACCCAGGAGGCCCCAACAGGCGCCCAAGAGGCCTCCAAGATGCTCCCAAAAGACCCCCAAGAGGCCCCGAGAAGCTCTCCGAGACACCCAAGACGCTCCAAGAGGCCTCCACTGGGGGACCCTTCCTCTGTGTGCTGCCCACCTCCCTGATCGAGGCAATTCCTCTGGGCCTCGTTTCTGGATGGGCTGGTGGGGTTACTTTTTTTTGGTCGCGGCCGCGCAGCAGAGGGCAGGCGGCGAGAGGGGGTCCGGGGCACGGGCCAGCCTAAGTAGGCTGGTGGGGTTACTTTTTTTGATCTGCGGCCCGCAATGAAAAGTGCAGAGGGCGGGTTAATCGGGCTGACTGGGGCACAGAGCCAGATAATTTGCGAACCCAGCCGTCACTGTCGACAGCCGACCGCACATGCACGCATGCCAAGCGAATTCGAGGAACCGCACCTTAGCACGGCAGCCGACGACGGACAGCGGGGCGTCGCACAGTGGCGCCAGCACCCGACAGACCAGACGGCGAAGGGCAGGGCGACAGGGGGGGAAAGAGGGGCGGGAGAGGGACAGGAGGGCAAAGGGAGCCTCACTCACGGAGCACGGAGCACCACGTACTCGAGGAGAGGTCGTCACTGAACCAGGCGACGGTAGCCATGGCGTGAGTCCCGAGTGGCAACTTCCATGCGTCCAAGGACGGGGGGGACGTCGCGTGGAACCACGGCGGCACTACCAACCGGTCTGGTGGGGTTACGCGAAGCGTCTAAAATTTCTAAAACGGGTGTCAATGACCCGCCCTCCCGCCCCGGGTGCGGTACGGATAGCCACCAGACACCAGGACGGGGGACAGAGCCAAGGACCCTCTGGGCGGCCTGTCAACCAGAGCCCATCGAGAGGCCAGGGCCGATCGCATAGCAGGTCGAGAGCCGCTTATGGATACAGGGGAGGATGAGGCGGAGGAGGAGGGGGAGGATGAGGAGGAGGGAGGGAGGAGGGATGAAGGAGAAGAGGAGGAGGAGGAAGAGGAGAGGAGGAGGAGGAGGAGGAGGAGGAGAGGAGGAGGAGGAGGAGAGGAGGAGGAGGAGAGAGGAGGAGGAGGAGGAGGAGGAGGGGAGAGAGGATGAGCACGAGGAGGAGGAGGAGGAAGAGGAGGAGGAGGAGGAGGAGGGGGAGGAGGAGGAGGACGAGGAGGAGAAGGAGGAGGAGGAAGCGGAGGAGGAGGAGGAGGAGGAGGAGGAGGAGGAGGAGGAGGAGAAGAAGAATGAGGAGGAGGAGGAGGAGGAGGAGCAGCAGGAGGACCCAGCAGTTCGACACCGCGGCCTGATTGTTGCTCTCCAGTAATCCTGGAAAGACCCGAATCCTGGGGAAATACCCGAATCCAGTAGTCCTGGAAAGACCCGACAGTCGTTTGATCTCGTTGGATATCTTCTGCGGGAGTTGGAGGACTGCTAAAGAGCAGGCAGCAATTCTTGCACGAGGGCGCGCAGCAGCTCCGTGGTTTCCCACCTCGCGTGCCGCCAGGGCGTGCCGACCCCTGCGGTGCCGAACGCTCCCGCGCCTCACGCCTCACGCCTCTCGGCCTCCGGGGCCGCAAGCCCCTCGAAGGCCGCGCGATGGTCCACCCCAAGAGACCCATGATCTCCGGCCACCTCCCGCAGAGATCACGCCCGCGCCGGCTCCCGCCTGAAGCTGGTGCCAGTGGCAGAGGACCTTCTTACCCGCAGGGCCTCGCCAGTGCAATTATCAAATGCTCATGTGCCTCCAGGCGCATGCCTCGAGAAGGGCACACGTGCGAGACCAGCAATCTTTGAAAGCAATTCCAGCGAGCGGTGAGACCGTTGCTTCTGATGCCCTGAGCACGCGGGCCCCCGAGGGAGGGACGATCGAGAACGCAGGCAGAGGAGAGCCGCGACCCACGGGGCCTACAAACACGATTTAAAACATCCCTCTCCCGAGGCTGCAAAGACTCGGGACTTGTGAAAAGCTGTCGCCCTCTCGTGATAGAGGGTAACCGTTGTATTCGGCTACACTCAAGAGTGACCCTGGGTAAGAGTGACCTTTGGTGCGCGGCTTTTGGGGGCCGCGGGGGGACCAAACACAAGAGCGCAAGACGCCAGTATCGCATCGCGTTCGGCGATCGGGGGACCCCCCATGGGCCCGCACCAAAGGTCACTCCGGCGAAGGGTCACTCTTACGCGCAGTCGATGTAGGTGCATCAGCATGGATGGGAGCAATGGCGACCACTCTGGCCTCTAACTTGGCAGAGGGGCCAGCCCATTGCGTCGAGCTCTCAGCTGCTGGCCCAACCTCACACGCCAGATACTCCAGCGACGGCCCAACCCGAAACTCCCCCTAGCCAGTGCACGCCGTTTCACGAAGCTCGGCAGTCTGGGGGAGGGGGAGGGAAGAAGGAGGAGGAGAAGTGAGGAGGAGGAGGAGGAGGAGGAGGATGGAGGGAGGATGGAGGAAGGAGAAGGAGGCGGAGGAGGAGGAGGAGGAGGAGAAGGAGGAAGAGGAGTGAGGAGGAGGAGGAGGAGGAGGAGGAGGAGGAGGACAAGGAGAAGAAGAACGACGACACCGACGACGACGCCGACGACGACGCCGCCGCCGACGACGACGACGATGATGACAACGACGAGGCCAGCAGCTGGAAGGGAAGGGGAAGGCAGGCGTGCGATAACCATACTTAAGTCGGGCCTGTCCCCCTACAGGGGGATTTTGGACGAAAAATTTAAAATACCCCCAAAAAACACCCCACAATGGCCAAAACATAATCAAAACATCGTCCCCATACTATTTTTTGACTGTTTCGAAGATTCCCCCTGTAGAGGAACAGGTCTGACTTAAAACCATACACCTGGCGCTGGTCCTGGCCAAACGCATCTTGTGCCCAAGATCGGCACATACACCGGAGTAAAGGCGCGTGCCACGATCCTGAGCCCAGGATCGGTCAGGCCAGGCTCTTCGTGATTGGGTGTGTAAGTGACGCCCTCCTCCGAGAGGTGGCGCCCAAGCGAGGGTCCGCACATCGATGGGGTCAGGAGCATGGCGCCGCATCGCCGATGCATCCGCGACGTCGGGGTGGAGGAGGGCAGGTGCTCCGACCCCAGCTGCTCCGGCCCCTGTCGGGCGGCCTGGAGAGGAGGGAGGAGGGAGGAGGAGGAGGAGGAGGAGGAGGAGGAGGAGGAGGAGGAGGAGGAGGAGGAGGAGGGGAGGAGGAGGAGGAGGAGGAGGAGGAGAGAGGAGGAGGAGGAGGAGGAGGAGGAGGAGGAGGAGGAGGAGGAGGAGGAGGAGGAGGAGGAGGAGGAGGAGGAGGGAGGACGAGAGTCCGGACGTCGAATGTCATGACATGCTCGCAAGAGGGCCCCCGAGGCCCCTTGTGACCCCTTCCCGGGGACCGGGGCTTTCACTGTGGACCTTTTCTGGCGCCCCCCGCGGGACCCGAGAATGGCACCCAAGTGCGCCACGAAAATACATACACAGATACCCTCCGACGAATTTTGAACGTACCTTCTGGGAGGGTAGCGGTGTGTAAAGTCGCTGGCTCCCAGTGGAAATTTACACACCGCCGCCGTCCCCTGAGGCCCAGGAGCAACTCAGTATTCTAGTTTTGTAGATGCCATGACACTGGACACTTTAAGCATCGTTTCATTGAATTAAAGATGTGTTCAAAATGTGTAAAACTTGTTCTACAAATATTTCAAACATGTTTTTAAACATGTATAAAACATAGTTGAAACATCTTTTAGACAGCTGGAAATTATTTGGCAGCATGCTTCCTCTCCATTAATCGACGTCCGCAATTCGAATGGCGGACCAAGTGCCGAAGATGGCGAGAGACCTCCGTCTTGATGTTTCTCCGAGGCGCCCAGGGCCTGCGCAGCCGCAGCGACGAAATGCCCGTGCACCAGCTGCCCGTGCGGGTACCAGGCGTCCTGGGGGCCATGTGCCCCCCACGGGCCGCTCGCGCACCACGCCTCCTCGTGACAAGGGGGCCAGAACACCTGGCTCTCGTCCCACCGCTCCTGCGTGCCCCACAGCCCTGGGTAGTAGGCCGCCTCCTCCGCCTCCTCCTCGTCCTCCTCCATGAAGGAGATGTCCACCTGAGCGGGGGTTACCAGGGAGGACGCCTGTACGCGAAGGTAAGGCACGGCGACCTTACGCGATGACATGCGCATGTCGGCGCGGGCGGCCCAAGACGGGAAGTTCACGCGCAACCGTGCGCAAGCATCTTACGAGCGAATGTCCGCGCAGCGCGGAGCCGACCCCATTTTTTCTGCGCCGCTCGCCTGGCTGCTGTCCTCGAAGGGCTCCAGGTCATTCTCTGCGGGGGCGTTGGTGGAGAAGCTGCTGCTCGGCGTGGGGTCGAGGTCCCCGATGCCGACCTTCATCGGCATCTCCTTTGAGCAGGGACCGACCGTCCCCGCATTCCTATAAGCCTACCACCAAGTGTTCTTAGAACCCAGCGCTGTTCTAATAACGAAAACAGTGTTCTTAGAACAGAAACCCGATGTGTGAAAACAAGAGAGTCTCAGCCAGACATGTTCAGAGAACATCTCGTGCAGACCACAATCGGTTCTTAGAACATTATTTGGTGGGTCTATAGGCAAGCCAGGACGCTTCGCCACTGATCGACTCCTTGCGCCTTGCGTCGCCGAGGTCGACCTTCATCGGCATGCTCCAGGCGCCCCGAGGCGCCTTCACCACGTCCACCATGGCCGCCGCAGGCGCCGCCTCCGCCGAGAGAGTGGCAACGTCCGAAGGGCAGGCGGGCGTCGCTCTCCAGCCAAAGTGACTGTGGAGAGGCGGTCGCGAAGAATGACTACCTACCAGACCACCCCAACTCAACCCGAAGACCCGAATTTCGTGTTGGGGAGAGTACGAGCTCCATGTGTTTTCGCAATGCTCCCTGACCCCCCACTGGCAATGGAGGGCAGATTGAAGCCTTCGGTTGGGTAGGGGTGGTTTGGTGGGTCGCGGAGAAGGAGGGGAAGGAACACAATCAAAGCATGGTTACAATCGAACCTGGGCCAGAAGAACGTCCTTCGAGAACACGAGGCCCTCCGCTGGCCAAACACACACAGAACATCCAAGGGTACCCTCCACAGGATGCACAAGAACATCCAACAAATACGACGAGCAACAGGGTACCCTCCCCGAACCGACCCCGATCTTATACCTCGGTCCGACTGTACGCCGAAGGCCCAAGAGCCCCATGGTGATACCCCCTATCCAAGAGCACTCCCAGGCGGAGAGCCCACACACAAAGAACATAAGGGTAGCCGTCCTTGCAAGGATTTGCAGGGCTGGGGCTGCTGATAATCCTCGTGCCAGCTTTGGCAGCGGGCTGAGAGGAGTGACGAGGAGGGCGAGGAACGGGATGCCGACGAGGAACCGCGAGGAAGACCACGGGTGGGGAGGTGGGGGAGGAGGAACGAGAACGGAGGCGGAGGGAGGAGAGGGATGAGTAGCTCCCCTGCGGCAAAAGCCAAATAGCACAGATGCCCACACGTGTCGCTGCGATGGTAATCGCCGGAGGCCCGATCCAGCCGTGGATCGGCCGGCCGACCGCGTGCTGCCGCCGAGCCCGCGCGCGCTCCCGCTCAGTGGTGTTCCGCGGCCCCTTCCGCCCGAGGCTGCCGCGCGTGGCCGCCCCTTTCGCTCGCCGTGTGGGAGTGCGGGGGGGGGGCGGGCGGAGGGACCATCGAGGGGGCTCACTTGGGCCATCGACGGACCAGGGGGAGGGGCATCCTAAGGACTTGGGGGGGCGGGCGGAGGGACCATCGAGGGGGGTACTTGGGCTATCGACGGATCGGGGGGAGGGGCGTTCTGAGGAGGGGGGGCGGGCGGAGGGACCATCGATGGGGGTACTTGGGCTATCGACGGATCGGGGGGAGGGGCGTTCTGAGGACTTGGGGGGGCGGGCGGAGGGACCATCGAGGGGGGTACTTGGGCTATCGACGGATCGGGGGGAGGGGCATTCTAAGAGGGGGGGGCGGGTGGAAGGATCTTTGATGGGATTCTAAAGACTTGGGGGAGGGCGGGCGGAGGGACCATCGAGGGGGGTTACTTGGGGTATCGACGGATCGGGGGGAGGGGCATTTGAAAAACTGGTGGCTTCGAGGGTTCGGTTGGTCGATTGCCCGCTTAGGTCATGCTGGCTTGTTCGATGCCGCATTCGGTGGCTCTCTCCCGGCCAAGAAGCAGACCACGCCCAGAGCGGAGCTGTGCGCTCGCGATCAAGGCAACCATCGAAGACTGCAGCGCATAGTGTGACTGTCTTGGGGCCGTCAAGGGTGCTCGACGGCCTTCGAGGACCAAGAGCAAGAGTGAAGCGCAGGGCTTGCGGGCTGAATACCATCGGACCTTGACGGTTCGAGGTGGCTCGATGAACCTTCTCCGGACCCAGGGGCACCCTACCCTGGCCCCACGCCGAAACATGCTGCTTTCTGCGGTGGACCTGTACCTCAATCGCGCCGCAGAACATGCTGCCAACGCCGCAGCCGCAAGAGGGCAGGTTTCTGATGAACGGATGGCTCGGGCGGCGGATGCTGCTCGGCTGGCCGTCGATGTGTTGCACCGTTCTTTGACCATCCAGCGTGAGGTTCTATTCTCCAGTGAACGAGTGAAGGGCGAGAAAATTCACCGTAAAATCAATGACCCAAATACCAAATTCGCGGAGGGAATATGCCGTCTTCGCGACGCTGGCCATGTGCCGTTTAGGATAAAGTAAGTGCTGTTCTGTGTGCGCGAAGAGTTTTCAATTACAAGGCCAGCTGTGAAATTTCTGGCCTGATCCCGGCAACCCGCTGTGTATCGTGCAGCAGCGCATCTGGCTGCTGTCGCACCGCCCTGCTTGGAAGAATATTGGCCCCGAGCCACCTTCGGGCCTGCTGAGTGTGGCGGCGCGCTGGACAACCCCGTGACAGACCAGCGTCACCCCTCTCGCCGCCTCGCCGTGATTCGAACAATGTTGTATCGCATAACGTGTGGCGGCTTCTGTACGAGTTTGCCGCATCGCATCTTGAGGGGGAAGTGTGGCCCCCCTCGAAAGCGGGGGCGTACTGCCCAGGCTTTGTGTAAAGGCCTTCCCCCCAAGACGGGCACCTGCTTTCCCGAGCTGGGCTGAGATTGCTGTGTACGGCGGGTTCGTGTCGTGACGACCCCAGCGCTAGTTCCTGACACTGCGTGGATCGTTCAACCTTGAACGATCGGAGGCTTATCGATTGCCAGATCGCTCCAGATTGGGCCGATTCTGGGCCACTGGCGGCGTTCAAGCTTTAACACCCGCGGTTCGGTCGCGGCGAGTCGGCACGACGCGAACCTGCCGTAGCGGCCTGCCCAGCTGCAGGACCCCGCGCGGAGAGATAGATGGATAGATGCTCGACGGGTGTGGACCAGTCGATCGAGTCGCCAGCTTTGCTACGAGTGTTGCCAACGACCTGGCCAGCGGCATGGGCAGCCGCTCTTGAGGCAGCCATCAAAGGTGCACCCACGGTTGCCAGTACACTCCCGAGGGATCGCACCATCGCGTAGAAACTACAATATCACGCAACTTTCCTGTCTGGGCCTGGTGGAAGCTCAAAGCCTCCCACCTTTCGGATGAAACGGGGCTGGAGCCAGGGCAAGGGCGAGCTGCCCAGTCACCCATCCAACGTCCCTTCTTCCAGCCGCCGGCGCTTGACATGCCCTTGACACGGTACTCGACCCCCAAACTGGTGCCGGACGCGTCCCACTCTTGGATACGCCGACTCCTCGTAGTCCCACCAGCCCCCATATCCTCGATTCCACTACCCCAAGTCGTAACACTTTCTGCTTTGCCTGTGGACTGGATGTGGCTGTCAATCGGGCGCAATTGGTGCAAAAGGATCTGTGAGCCTGTGTTGGGCGTAAGAGAAGGACGACGACGAATGGAAGAGGACAAGCCAGGTGTACTCGCGTCATATCTGACGTCATCTGACGTCCCCCGCTCGCACCTACTCCTTACCATTGCGCTGAGTCCTTTCCTAGCCCCGGTAACAAAGCTCCATCGTGTGATACGCAATCAGCACTTAGGGCCTTGTACAGTGAACGAAGAGATAGTGATGCAAAAGTAAGAGGATGATCAGGAAGAATGGCAGGATGATGAGGGAGGAGGGGCAGCAGCAACAGGAACAGGAGGAGCAGGAGGAGCAGGATGACCAGGGGAATGCGCCAAAAGGAACAGGATTGCGACGGCAACGACGCGGAAATGAATCGGATTCAGAAGTGCAGCCCCGCGCGGGGGCGAGAACGCATCTCTGAACGAACCAATGCTGCAGCAGGAGCCAACTGTGTGAAAAGGGGTGAAGTGGCCCGATCTGAGATGCCACAAACGTGCTGGTAGAACGCCTGGTGGGGGAAAACGTAATACTTGGGAGACGCGCGCCCCCCGTACTGGGGAGTATCATAGGGGAGAACTCCTCCTCCTCCTCCTCCTCCTCCTCCTCCTCTTCCTCCCCCTCCTCCTCCTCCTCCTCCTCCTCCTCCTCCTCCTCCTCCTCCTCCTCCCCCGTGTTCACAATTGGTGTATTCCCCACCTGCCATCTGGGCGTAGGTGGTTAGGAAATTAACTATGCCCCCCTGCTTTCCCTTCGGGAAGGGCTATACCCCTCCAACTACCGGGAGGGGGGGGGGGGCGACGCGTTGAAGCATCCAGGATTGCCCGAGACGGCTCCAAGATGGGCCAAGATAGTCCAAGATGGTCTCTGAGATCGCACAAGATAATCCAAGATGGCTCAAGGATATCATCCAACATGCCTCCAAGAGGCCCCGAGACAGAAACAAGACGAGTCCAAGTGGTCACGGAGCCTCCCCAGGACGCCCTTCAGAATTTTGAGGGGATCGATGTGCGAGGAACGGTCAAAAACACAGTGCCCACATCCGACGGATCTCTGGCACTGGGTGGGATCCCTGGCAATGTTGCTGGCACGCGCGGATCGTGCATGCGGATGGGTGGCAGAACACTCCGCCCTACAGAGTATGCGCAAGGGCGCGCAGGAGGATGGGCACCGATGAAGGCCGAGTTGAAAACAGAGGCACCCCCCCCTGAGGCCGAGTCTGCCGATGAGTCGGCCGAAGGAACCTCACAAGGCGGACTCCGAATCGGATCAATATCCGCGGGCTCGCTGCGTGACAGAACCGCGCCTGATATGTAACCGCGGGTTCGCTGCGCGATAGAACCGCGCCCGGCAAAAGTCAGGTGGCAACTCATGGGAGCCTCCCATGCCAACTTGTCGGATCTTGCGAATCGACGCCAAATCGGCGCTATCCCCTCGACTCCCAGACGCTAATCGACGCTAAAGGCAAAATTAAACGGGTATACCAGGCCCCCATGATTTGCTACCGAACACGAAGACACGCTCGACCAAGGCCTATCAACACCCGTGAAGAACGCGCTGAGTTTGAGACTGCGCACCGCCACCCTTCGCCGTCCGGGTCGCCAAAACGCTTCCCCCTGGACGAAAAGTTTCGGTGGCAACTCATGGCAGCCTCCCATAGAGGCCTCCCAGACGGGGTCGGAGTACATGGGGTCGAAGGATCGCGCCGCATCGCCAATGCATTGGCGATACATTTGCGATGCACCGGCGATGCATCGGCGACGTTGACGTGGAGAAAATCGAGCTCCGCATCGAGCCGCATCGGCGATGCATCGGCGATGCGGCGCGATCATCCGACCCCATCTGCTCCGACCCAAACTAGGAGGCCTAGATCTCATGCCATTTTGCTGGCTCTTGCGAACCGACGCTAACCGGCGCTATTCGACGCTAAATCGATGC